CTGTCTTATGCTCCGCCGCCGGCGGGTCGGTATTTTTACAGGCGGCTTTGGCAGGGGGGACGCTTGTCTCATGAGGTACATCCACCTGGGATAGATAGTGGCCCCTACGGGATATTTCCTGTACAAGTAGCTATGGGCCAGGGACGCAATGTATGGGAGCCTTTTGAGATAAAGCAGATTAGAGAACTTAAAAATGCAGTTACAACCTTTGGGCCGACTGCGCCTTACACCATTGCCATGCTGGAGAATCTGTCTTCTGGGCCCCTCACCCCCGCGGACTGGATTCAGCTGGCAAAGGCGTGTCTGCCCTCGGGCAGTTACCTGGATTGGCGAGCCTGGTACGCAGAGTTCTCTGCCGAGCAGGCTGAGAAAAACGCCGGTCGAGGAAATGGGAGCTGGGGATTTAGCTTAGCGGCATAAGCGCCTGCCTTGTAAGCAGGCAATCGCCAGTTCGATCCCTGGTACCAATAAAAAAAAAAAAAAAAAAAAAAAACGAAAAAGATAAAAATAAAAAATAAAAAATAAAAAACAAAAAGGGGGAGTAGGCCAAGGCCTGGCCCCAAAGGCACGATTATCCATGGCACTATTCACACACAATTTTTTAAATTTAAATAATGATAATCGCTCCCCAGCTGTGGAGCACTGCAACCCTTCCCCCAACCATAAAGGGTGGGTGAAGTGGAAAGATGTCCTGACAGGACAATGGATGGGCCCGGATCCAGTGGTCAGCTGGAACCGAGGCGCGGTTTGTGTTTTCCCACAGGAACCGGGACGAGAACCACTGTGGATACCGGAGAGACTGACACGGGCAACAAAGCCCTCGACTGAAGATCAGACCTGCCCTACTGGAGATCCATCACAGACCAACCAATAAGATGAATAGAAATAGCGGTAGCCCAAAATGGACAAGAAGATCCTCAGGCATATGCATGGCTTGCTCAATCGGCCCACAACCGAGTCTAGATATGGCGGGCATCCCTCATTCTCCTCCATAAGGTGACAATACACAGCAGGGTAGGTGAGTCAATGACGGGTAAGAGCGTGCCTCCCCAGCACGACTCGACCTAAGCCAGGCCCTACCCCATCCTGCACGTAAGCCGCTGGACTGTTAGATGCTGCCCAGGTCTAAATTTCTCTCCGAGGGGATTTCTTTACGGAGAGGAAATGAGTGCAAGCTTGTGTGCATCCAGGTTCCGTCCAGTTTGTGCCTGGCCCTAGAAAAAGGACGAGGGCCTCAGGGCCTTGGCAGACCATGGCATGGCCAACCAGGGTCTAAGCCAAGGACCTACGGTGGGCCTACACATAGGGCATAAGCCTCTGCACCCAGTCCAGGAAGGGCTACGATGCGCACATTCATAAAAAATAAAATAGGGGGAGATGTTGGGAGCCGCGTCTGTGATAGCTCGCCTTGCGCGGCGGACGTGCGGCCTGTGGTAAAGAGCAAAGCCTGAGGTAGATTACCCCTCCCATTGAATATGTTAGTTTCCTGCTTACCGCGTAAACAACCCGCTCAACAATATAGTCTGCCTGGCAACTGATGATGTTAGCCAATCAGCTTGCCTTGCTTACTTTAACATGATTGGACACTGTACCCGTATATATACCGGTGCCACCCCTGGGCGGAAAAAGAAGCCAGGTAGAAGCCCAGAAGTAAAAGCCCAAAAGGAGCCGCGGAGAGCGGACCGGTAGAGGCTTTGGGGCAGACTGAAGCACAAAAGGAGCCGCGGGGAGCGGACCAGAGGAGGCTTCAGCTGGGAGAACCCAGGGCAGGCTGTACGGAGAAGGAAAATAAAAAGAAAAGGTTGTCCACTACCAGACTTTGTCGTGTGTCCTTCCTGCCGGCCGGGAGCGGACATCGACAATTAAGCTGCATTCCTTTTGGTGGTGCTGAGGAAGAAACCATCCCACACCTTTCTCCTAACTTCTAGCAGATTTCAGCAATATGTGCTTACATCTCCACACTGCTCTCTTCTCTGTGTGCCTGTCTCTATGCTAATCCTCTTTCTTCAACAAAGACAGCGGTCAGTGGACTGAAGAGCACCCTGAACCCAGAATGATTTATCTCTAGATCCTTAACTAATTATAGTTGTGTAGGTTATATTTCCAAATAAGAGTGCACATACACACACACACACACACACACACACACACACACACACACACACACAAATGAGAGGGGACGTTGAGCTCACTACCAGGGCATCCTGAGTGTTTATGGAAATCACAAAATAAATAGTGTGGAGGAGTGAGTTTACTAGTTTTGAATTTAAAGTGAACAATCCTAATTATTTGGGAAAACATCAGGTGAAAGTTGTTTTGTATTAACAATTAGAAGAAATTCCTTAGTTATATAGTTGGTTTGCTTTCTTAAAAAATGCTCAACCTCACTGTATTTTTCCTTCCATTTTTTACATATTGTTATCACCATCATCAAACTGCCGGATTATAAAATCTTAAAATAATAGTTAACATTTTATAATCACTAACTTTTAAAACATTGCATTTAATAAAAAACTCTAGTTCCACTTTTTTTGGTACCAGGGATCAAACTCACAACCTCACATTTGCCAAGCTGGCACTTATGCCACTGAGCTAAACCTCTAGCTAGTTAGACTTTTTTGAAGCACTTCTAGAGATTGAACCTGGGCCTATATCACCACCTTTTTTTTTTAAATTTTGAGACAGAGACTTCATAAGCTTCCCAAGATGGGCTGAAACTTGGCAGTGACCCTACTGCCTAGGGCTTCCAGAGTTCTGGGATTATAAGTGTAACTGTAACAAAATACCTGCTGCTTCCTAAAAGTACAAAGCTGTTGCAGACTTCCCATTTATATGCTTCTCCTTCTGTCCAAAATATTCTTTCTGTCTTCTTTGTAAATTTGTGCACATCCTTTGAGGTCTTGATTTTGTTTGTTTTTCCATGTAGCATTCCAGTAAGTCTCGTTCAGCTCTTACTTCCTCAAGCTTAGCATAATGTTTAGTATATAATAAATGCTAAATAAACTTAAGTAATAAGTAGCTTCTATTGAAGAAAGACAGAATGGATTCCTGGCTCTGGATAAGTATCTTATGGGTTATTTAACTATAAAAATATGAAGATAATTAGTATTACACAGATTTTTTTTTTTTTTTTTTTTTTTTTTTTTGTAGCAGGGATTAAACTCACAAGGTTGCACTTGCCAGGCAGGCACTTAGGCCACTGAGCTAAATCCCCAGCCCTTCACAGATTCTTTTATGACAAGAAAGGAATTTAAAGTGAGTATAGTAATACACACCTGTAATCCCAGCACTCAGGAGCCTAGGCAGGAGGACTGTTGCAAGTTCAAGACCAGCTTGGGTTACAAAGTGAGCTCAGAACCAGCCTGAATTGCAAAGCAAGATTCTGTCTCAGCTCCTTTCTTCCCTTGAACTCAGTAACTTTCCTCTACTAGGCCCCCTGCAATACCACTTCTGTCTTGGTGTTGGCTGACCATGGACTAAAACTGCGAGTCACACTAAACCTTTCCTCCTTTAAGTTGTGAATGTTAAGTTTATTGATCCTGGAGCTGGGGATTTAGCTCAGCGGCATAAGCACCTGCCTTGCAAGCAGGCAGTCGTGAGTTCGATCCCCGGTACCGATAAAAAGGAAAAAGACAAAAAAAAAGTTTATTGATCCAGCAAAAGAGTGACTGAGACAACAAAGAGCTCTCAAAAACTCAACAGAGGGTCTGGAAATTTAGCTCAGCGGCATAAGCACCTGCCTTGCAAGTATGCAGTCGTGCATACCGATAAAAACGAAAAAGACAAAAAAACTCAACAGAAAAAAAGTCCACGTAGAAAATGAGAAAAAAAGATATAAAGAGACAGTTTTTAAAAGAGGAAAATAAGCACATGAATTGTTGGTCAATATCACTATTAAGGAAATGAAATTAAAACCACACTGAGACCTCCAGGCAAATCTTAAGAACAACTATAATAAAATTAGTGATAATATTAAATGCTGGTAAGGATAAGGAAAAACTAGATCCCTTGTATTTTGCTAGTAGAAATGTAAAATGGTATAGCCACTCTGGAAAATTTCAGTAGCTTCTTAAAAAATTAAACATCTTGCTGCCATATGCAGTTATATTCCTAGGCATGTATCCCAAAGAAACAAAAATTTAATATTTACATCAAAACCTTTACATGAATGTTCATAGCAGTTTCACTCATAAAAACTAAAAACTAGAAACAACTCCGGTGTTTACAGTGAGTGGTGAAATGTTAAACAGACTATTGTTCATGCTTATCGTGGAATACTACTCAGCAATGAAAAGGATCAAATTATTGATACACACAACTTGGATGAGTCTTCATAGAATTATGCTGGTAGAAAAAAATCCAATCTCAGAGTGTTACAGCTTTGTTGAAATAACAAAATTATGGAAATTCAGATCTGATCAGTAGTTGCCAGAATTTTAGGAGGAATGCAGGCAGGGAAAAACTGAAAAGTGCAGTGTATCATTGTATTACTTTGTAAACTGTATGTGAATCCACAATTACCTCAAAATAAATATTTAATTTAAGAATTAAGTCTGGCAAGTATAATAAAAGGTAGAATTTAGGTGGCAGAAGGTACAGATGACTATGTTAACCGTATTTTGAAAATGTTTCTGATTTTTTTTTTTTTTTGCTTGTGAGACAGAGTCTAGCTATGTAATTCAGACTAACCTTGAAATCACTATGTTGCCCAAGCTGGCAGGGAACTCAGACCAGTCCTCTTGCTCAGTCTCCTAAGTGCTGGGATTACAGGTGTGTCCCACCATGCCCAATTTGAAAATGTTTCTTAATAAAATTAGAAAAAGAGGGGCTGAGAATTTAGCTCAGCGGCATAAGCACCTGCCTTGCAAGTGCGTGATCGTGAGTTCGATCCCTGGTACCAGTAAAAAAAAAATTAGAAAAAGAAAAATATTAACTACTATAATTTTCCTGGCTTAAGTCCTTGTACTACCACAATCTAAAGAATAAAAGTAACATAGGTCGTGCTCACTTTGGCAGCACATATACTAAAATTAGAATGATACAGAGAATATTAGCATGGCTGCTGCGCAAGGATGACATGCAAATTTGTGAGGCGTTCTATATTTTTTATCATTATTTGCAGATGACATGGTACTCTATATAGAAGACCCCAAAACTCCATTGGAAGACTCCTAGATATAATAAATAAATTCAGCAATGTAGCTGGATACAAAATCAATACTCAAAAATCAACAGCATTCCTCTACACTAACAAGAAAATCACAGAGAGAGAGAAATAAGAGAAGCCACACCCCTCACACTAGCAACCAAAAAAATGAAATATTTAGGATTTATTCTCACGAAAGAAGTGAAAGATCTATATAGGGAAAATTAAAATACATTGAAAAGAGAAATTTAAGAGGATCTCAGAAAATGGAAAGATATCTCTTGCTCATGGATAGGAAGAATAAATATTGTGAAAATGGCCATTCTCCCAAAACTCTTACACAGATTCAATGCAATCTCAATAAAAATACCATCAACATACTTCATAGAGCTAGAGAAATCACTCCTAAAATTCATCTGGAACCAGAAGAGACCTAGAATAGCAAAGACAGTTTTAAGCAGCAAAGGCAAGGCAGGAGGCCTCACAGTCCCTGACTTGAAGTTATACTACAAAGCAACAGTAGTAAAATCAACATGATACTGGATTCAAAACAGAGCCAAAGATCAATGGAATAGATTAGAAGATACAACCACAACTACAAACACACTCAACCACCTTATCTTTGATAAAGGGGCCAAACATGTTCACTGGAAGAACGACAGTCTCTTTCATAAGTGGTATTAGAAAAACTGGCTCTCCACATGCCAAAAACTAAGACTAGACCCATGACTATCACCATGTACTAAATTAAAATCTAAATGGATCAAAGATCTGAATATTAAAACAGAAACACTAAATCTATTGGAAGACAAAGTGGGTAAAAACCTTGAAGACATAGGGGTAGGTAGAGAATTCATGAACAGGAATCAAACTGCCCTGGAAATACTTCCCAGAATCAACAACTGGGATCACCTCTTATTAAAAAGCTTCTGCATGTCAAAATAAATCTCTAGCATAGTGAAAAGAAAACCTACAAACTGGGAAACAATCTTAGTGAACTGTCCCTCACACAAAGGACTTCTGTCTAAAACATATAAAGAATTTTTAAAAATCAGATACCCAAAATTCAAGAATCCAATCCAAAAATGGGCATCTGAGATGAATACACAATTTTCAGATGAAGAAATACAAATGGCAGATAAACACATGAAAAAATGTTCATCATCATTACTCATTAGAGAAATGCAAATTAAAACCACACTGATATTCCATCTCACTCCTGAAAGAATGGCCAGGATCAAGAAAACCAACAACAACAAATGCTAGAGAGGCTGTGGGGAAAAAGGAACTCTCCTGCAATGTTGGTGGAAGTGTAGACTGTTGCAACCAATGTGAAGGTCAGTTTGGAGATTTCTCAGAAAGCTAGGATTGGAGGTCCCATTTTTTCCAGCTATTCCACTTCTAGGCATCTTCCCAGAAGAACCGAAGACTTCATACCACAGTGATATATGTGCACCCATGTTTATCACAGCACAATTTGTAATAGCCAGATTTTGGAAACAGCCTAAGTGTCCATCAACTGAGGAATGGATAAAAAAAATGTGGTATTTTTATACAATGGCGTACTACTCAGCTATAAAGAATGATCACCTTGAGATACTGATAAATAAATGGGCACAGCTTGAGACCATACTCATAAACGAAATAAATCAAACTCACATGTATAAATACTGAATAGTCTCCCTAGTATAAGAAATGGTAAGAATACATAAAAGTATGTGGTAATCATGATTTCCCATTATATTGTTTTGAAGCCTTCTAATGTTTGCATTCATTAATTGGAATGGATTTATTCTGGGGTGTTTGATTTTATTGTCTGTGATGGTATGAACAGTTATTTTGAAGAAAACAAGACATTATAATAGTTAGTGCTGATTTAATATCAGCTTGTTTTGAAGTCCCATCAAGCTTTTGTTCTTCTGTCTCTACTGGTTTTATCATGTTGTATCTTATTGGATTTTATTATGTGATAATATAAAGAAAATTTTTTTATAGACAAGGAGATAATATTGAAACCATTGTTCATTTTCTGTTAGTTGGTTCTGTAGTTGGTTCTAAATACCCTGTAATACTTTCATTCTCTTGAATGGTTTTATACTGTCTTTTTATGTTTGATACTATAGGGTATGAAGGTATACTCAAATATTTCAAGGAAAGAGACACTATGGTAGCTACTGTTATGTCGGCTTTTTTGTGGTGAAACACTATGTTGCTTAAATTGTTCTGTTCTGATCTGTGTTGTTATGTCCTCTTTTATCTTAATCTCCTTTATTTTTTTAAATAAAAAAATAATAAAAAGTAACATACGTCCAAATTATTCAAAGTATTCATAAGTACCTCTACTTCTGGGGCATAAGTTTAAATGAGTTTTCCCTCAAAAAATAAGAAAGCAATTCATTCCATGAAATGGTTTCACCTATGGGGCTTTTCTGAAGTAGACAGTGAAAATTTTACTGGTTTAGAAGGCTTTCCTGAATCTGGGGTAACAACGTTTTGCTACTCCTCCATCTCATTTCTATTTGGTGTTAACAATATTTATTTGTCCTATTAATTGTCAAATTTCTCTTTCCGCTGACTGTTTTTCCCAGAGAGTAGTCATAGTTCTCTAAACACTGCACTGCTCAGACAGTCTACTGCCTGGTGATACATTAGCTGCCACATCCTCAGTGCAGTGGCTTTTGAGTAGAGAACAAATTAGGGAAGTTTATGGCACTAACTCAAACACTGTAAGTAGTTTTATAGAATAATTTATTTGGGGGGTGTCTTAGTTACTTCTCATTGCTGAGACACAATACCCAACACTCCCAACTTAAAAGAGTAAAGGTTAAGTTAGTAGATTTCAGTCCATAGTTAGCTGGCACCAAGGCAGAGTGGCATAACAGAGGGTCATGACAAAGGAGAAAGAGTTCATGGCATGGCAGGCAGGAAGCATTAGAGCACCAGGAAAGAGGAGAGGCACATTACCCTTCCAGGGAATGCCCGCAGTGACCCATCTCTCATCCCAGGTTTCACTTTCCAGTATCACACCTACCTATAAACTTATCAGTTGGCTAATTCAGATTACACACCCATGATCCAGTCACCTCCCCAAAGTCCCACCTATGATGATATGAGGCTTCATAGGGACATCTAGATAGAAACTTAGAAAGCCTGGAAATTACTTGTATATCTATACTTATAGATAGGGATATTTTACTTCTTAATAATTATAATTGGCATGAAAATACAAAAGCATTAAGCATGCCACCTTAAGAGAGTAAGAATCATTAAAATCTATATAATGTTAAATAGTTTATTGGTTAAGATTATACAATTGGACATGTATAATCTTACTTGATCATTTCAACTACTCTGAAGTCGGTATTTTTATATGTATTCTAAGACAAAGAAACAATGGCATAGGGTCAACTGACACACTGATTTAGGGGAAATAATATGTAACTTTCAGACTATTAAATATTAGATATGCCAAGTTCGTGTTCTCCAAAATAGAAGAATAAATTCCACAGAACAATAGAGGTTAATAGCAAATTTTTTACTTACCTCTGAGAAGCTTGAACAAAATCAAATGCGGATGAATACAGCCCAGGAGAGGGTTCAATTAGGGTTGACTTAGAAGCCTTTCCCTTAGAGTCCAGAGAGCAAGTGAGGGGAACCTCAGACTCAGTAACAGTAGAAGTATGTGACTGTCTCAATAGCCAGAGCTATTGGGTTTTCTTGTGGCTTACATTTATTTTTTTATTTTAAAAACAAACAAATAGAAAAGGGCAAAAATGACATGGAATTTCAAAAAAATGGGACACTAACACTAGTTAATATATTTTATATTGTTATTTTGAAAGTAGTTGTACAGATTACAAGATTTAGGTATGAAAAAAATGATCAATCAGACAATGAAAACACAACTGTTCCTTTTGATGAACAGAGATTAGTACTATAGTTATCTATCTTTTATATATTTACATACATAAATATGTACACGTGTGTGTGTATATATATATATTTATATATATATTCCATATATATATATATATATATATATATAAATCTTTTCCTTTTTTCTCCTTTACCCAACACCAGTTGTTTTCTTTTGAGCACTTTTTTTCCCTTTCATTTTCACAATATCTATACTACATTTTGGATCTTATTTACTATTTTTTTTACACTATGGAGACACTTACAATATTTACATGTGCAAGTCTGATTTATTTCACTTATGAGTATGGTCTCTAGTTGCATCCATTTACCTATAAAAGCCTCAAGTTTATCCTTATTTAGAGCTGAGCAATACTCCACTGTATAAAAACACCACATCTTTTTTATCCATTCTGTGGATGATGGGCATTTGGGTTGTTTCTAAGATCTGGCTGTTACAAATTGTGCAGCTATAAACATGGGTGCACATATATCACTGTGGATTGATGCTTTCAGTTTTTCTGGGAAAATACCCAGGAGAATAGCTAGGTCAAATGAAACTTCTAATCCTGGTTTTCTGAGGAATCTCCTCACTGATTTCCACAGTGGTTGTACCAATCTGCACTCCCACTAACACTGGAGAAGGGTTTTTTTTGTCCCACAGCCCCATCAGCATTTGTTACTGGTTGATTTCTTGATGATAGCCATTCTTTAATTTAATGTATGGTAGTAGACATGGGTCTGGTTCTGGACTTTGGCATATAGAAAGCCAATTTTTCCAGCACCATTTATTAAAGAGGCTATCTTTCTTCCAGTGAATATGTTTGCTCCCTTTGTCAAAGATAAGGTGGTTAGGGGCTGGGGATTTAGCTCAGCGGCATAAGCACCTGCCTTGCAAGCAGGCAGTCGTGAGTTCAATCCCTGGTACCGATAAAAAAATGAAAAAGACCAAAAAAAAAGATAAGGTGGTTGAGTTTTTTTGTAGTCATGTCCGCATCTTCTAATCTTAATCTGTTTCATTGATCCTCAGGTCTGTTTTTGTTTGT